ACTTCCGGCTTTTATCTTTTTGCTTATGTGGTGCTGAGGAATCGAACCCAGGGCCTCAGGCATGCAAGGCAAGCGCTCTACCACTGAGCCACCTTCTCAGCTCATGTTTTTTTTTTGATTGTAGAGAATCTGGGCTCTTCACTTCCAGCTTTTTGCTGATTAACTGGAGATAAGATTCTCATGGACCTTCTTGCCCTGGCTGGCTTTGAACTGAGTCTGAAGCTAGGATTATAGGTGTGAGCCACTGGTGCCCAGTGTTACACTTTTTAAAAAGATTCTCTTGCTTCCATTGTCACTGTTTTCTTTTGATACTATGTTGTTTAAAATTGAGTACATATAGAAACACTTTATATCAGAATAATTTCTAGATAGTTCTGTTTAGTCAGTCTTCAGTGGCACAGATGAACATGTATTGTAGTAGATACTGATATAATATTTGCGTATCATTACTGTGTGTATATTTATATAAGATACTTTCATTTATAAGAACCGTTTCAAGGTACAGATGTTTAGTATTCCTTCCAAATTCCCATGAGATAGCAGCTCATGTCTTGCTGACACAGATGAGAGAACAAGTGTGGAAAATATGATATGCTCAAGAATCAATGACAAAGCCTGCCCTCCTGTCATTGGCTCCTGGAACCTAAAAAAAAAAAGTAAAAAACCCCACAAATGAAAATCATTAGTTACTGTTGCCTAAAGGTGGATGAGAACTCCATGAGATTTCAGTGCAGTTGTAGATCCTTTAAACACCTGAATTGGAAAGGAAGAATCAAGGTACTACTCGGTGGTGGAAGAGTACACTTACAATCAGGCTTTGTCAAGACAAAGAAAAAGGTTAGAAGAACTTCCCTGGTAATTGGCCTACTTGAGGGAAAATGTAAAGCTTACTATTAGAGTATAAGACAAGGCGAAGTTGTCTGCGCGCAGGCATTTGGGTGTTTGATGTTCGAGATTAGTTAACTAGTTTAGAGACTGGTATGTATGGGGAGAATACAATGTGATTATGAGAAGGATTATAGTTCAGAACTATGTGTATACTTCTATAGCTCCATATATTTTAAACAGCCTGAAAATAATTGGCCTTGTGCTGGAAGGCCAATTATTTCTTATTATTATCTGGCATTTTGAAAAATGTATTCAATACCTAACAGCTTTGCTCAATTTCTCCTCATACTTTCTTTCCTTTCTCTCCCAGTTCTGTGTAACAGCAATTTCAAAGCAAATGTATGTGGGTGGTTTCCATGGTACAAGACAACAACTTCAATAGAGAGGGCACTTCAGCCTAAGCTAATTGGGCATGATGTGTTCCATGGCTCCAGTGTGTAAACACAGATGCCCTAATATTGCAGGTATTTTAGCAGTTGATCAGACATGTTAGGAAAGGGAAACATTTAGTCATATTAATGACAAAGGACTGGTTCATTTTAATCCTCCTTTACCCCAAGTCCTTAACCGTTCTTTGTTTCTATTGGCAGGACCAGGAAGAACAAGCTTACTTTGCAGTATTTGACGGCCATGGGGGAGTGGATGCTGCCATTTATGCCTCCATTCACCTACACGTTAACTTAGTACGCCAGGAGATGTTCCCCCATGATCCTGCTGAGGCTCTGTGCCGAGCCTTCCGGGTCACTGATGAGCGGTTTATACAGAAGGCAGCCAGGGAGGTATGCCACACTTTCTCATAAATCGCAGTGATGAGTACACTGTCTGAGCTCAACTTGGGTCTTTGTGGATAAAGAGCTGTTTTGGATTTTTCTTCCTGAGAAAACAATTTTCTTTCTTTTTTGCTTTAGGTTTTCGGATAGGATTTTCTTTTTTTCCCAGACTGGCCATGGACCATGGTCCTTTTAGTTCTTTTACCTCCCCAGCAGGTGGGATTACAGGCATGTACCATCACTATGTCTGGCATGGTTATTTTTGTTTTGAGTTAGTTTGCTAATTTTTTGTTTGGTCTGACTTTGAATGCCTCCAGAGTAGCTGGGATTAGATGTAAGCCATCATGCCTGACCTAAACTGTCTCCTTGACCCACAGTATTTGATTCTATTGTCCTTCCAACTCTAATTACCTCTCCAGGAATAGCTTTAGTGGGACACTCAGTTTCTGTAAATCATTGCTGGACTTAGCAGGTAAGTTTTATCTTTCTTTACCATTGCCTATCAGGTTTACACCAGGACTGTTTCTAAAGCACTGATGCTGACAACAATCTGGATATGGTGAATATAAAACAATGGTTTTAAAAAAGAAACAGGATCTGGGATTACTTCCATACATTTGGTTCTAAATGGGTAGGCAGCAATTTGCTGTGTATCTTGAGAGAAAATTTCACTGGAGAGAGTGAATCCTTAGATGATCCTTGAGCGGATTTTCTCTTAAAAAGAAAAGCTAGAACGCATACTCTATATTGCTGAGGTTAATTAGACCTAAGGTTTTTACTCAGAATGAAATCTAGGGACTATATTAAGATCTAAAAGTAAAAAAATTAATATAATTATCATTCTGGGCATTGGTACATAATTAACTACAGTACTCTGTTGGATTTTTAACTGAGGGAAAAAAAGAAGTAGCAAGAAGTAACTAAAGAATTAGATTCACAGAAAATAACACCCCAGCCACACAGTTTAAACATTAACTTTTTAAAATGGACTTGGAAATCGGGGTAATTGTTTTATCTATTTCTTTGATGTCACAGGCTACAAAGCAATAGGGGGGTTTAAAATGAAACTAATTCAGAACTAGCTGGTATTAAGCAAGGGAAGTATTTATCCTAAGTTTGGAGTAATACCTAGATCAAGTAAGAGTAACTACCAAGTTCTATATATTGAGGTGATGTTGGAAAATAAAAAAAAAAACAACTTTGACTAAAGAGGGCCAGTATTCCGATTAACTCTGGACCTCTTGAAGCTGAGGGCTCTCTACTGATGGCTATAACTGGCCCCTAATAGGTGATCTGAAATCACTCATGTAAAACAAAGCGAATCACTTTTTCACTCTTCTTGTAGTCTGTTCCTTTTCCACATCTCCTCAAAATTATGTCTTTTTTTCTGATCACATTTATCTGTTTCATCAAAGCTTATAGTGTCAGTTATGCTAATAGTTCTCCTTAATAATTTAGGTTTGTTTCAGCAGTCATTTTTCTCCTTCTTGTGCGTCCATGTGTAACTGCTGGGAAGAGTAGCTATTCCTGTTGCGAAGCAGCCCTGCCTCCTGTTCTCTCCAGGGCATATGCACAGAAGTGTCTTTATCATGTGTTCCAGAGGGCTGAGTTTTTGAACATTCTGTGTGGGAAGACATTTTATTGGTGGGTGAGGATTTATAACAAACTTTCCCTATATAGGAAAAAAGGAGAAGTTGTTTTCTTATTGGATACAAGAAGCCCTTTACCAACACTGACGCATTGGTTCTAATTTAGGTCAGGTCCTTAGTAACAGAAAGTCATGCTTATTTGGTGGTGACTCATGTCAAATGGAGATGTCATTTTTTAGTACAGTAGGATCAAGAGCTTTTAAGTACAATGGTAGCTATTGCAGTGAAATTCCAAGCTGATAGTTCTTTATGCCAATGTTTTAAAAGCAAGAGTCCCTAAAAATATTGTAGAGAGGTATTTTTTTCTTTTAAAAGTATAGGCATATTAGTACTTGAAGTAATACATGCCATCACATGGATCCTTATCTTAAACCTAGAGACTGGGAGTATTTATTGAGTACCAAATGCTTTGTACAGATCCTTTACTGAACCATATAGAAAGTCAGTAATGAAACAGATGAGTATGTAATCTTTGTTCTCATAGCTGTAATCCTGGCTACTAAGGAGACTGAGATAAGGAAGGAGGCTAGCCTAGACAGAAAAGTCTGTGAGACTCTATCACTAATTATCCAGCAGAAAGCCAGTCTGGAGGCCTAGACCAAATGATTGAGTGCCTGTCCTGAGCAAGAAGGCTGAACAAGCCCAAGATCCCTAAGTTCAAGCTCTAGTACTGGCAAAAAAAAAAGAGGCTAAAAAATAATTCCTATAGTAGATTTAGCACTGGACTTGGAGACAAAATAAAATTTAATTGACTTGTGTACTAATTAATTATGTGCCCTTGGACAAGTTTTAAAATCTCAGTTAAGGGACTGAGGATGTGGCTCAGTCGTAGAGTACTTGCCTAGCATTCATGAAGTTCTGGGTTCGATTCCTCAGTACCACATAAACAGAAAAAGCTGGAAGTGGTGCTGGGGCTCAAGTTTTGGAGTGCTAGTCTTGTGCAAAAGAAGCTCAGGGACAGTGCCCTGGCCCTGAGTTCAAGCCTCAGGACTGGCCAAAAAAAAAAAAAAAAATCTCATAGCTAAAACTAATAATTATCCCTGTGCTGCATATGCATATGGCATCATGTAGATTAGTGTGTGTAACTGTTAGTACGTACATGCATGTAAAAATGCTTTGAGAAACATCAATTTCTGTGTTTGTAAAATTGAATTATTAAAAGTCTATCTCCCAGATGAAAAGTTTGTAATAATTATAAAGTGCTTCTCATTGCGAATTTGGTGTCTATTTATCTTAATTGACTCTAGTCTTAAACTGTTTTCAGAGCTTAAGATGTGGGACCACAGGAGTGGTGACTTTTATCAGAGGCAACATGCTACATGTGGCCTGGGTGGGCGATTCCCAGGTTATGCTTGTGAGAAAGGGCCAAGCTGTTGAACTAATGAAACCACATAAACCAGACAGAGAGGTATGTATGGTTTGTTCTATTAGAGCACATGACAAATTTTTATTAATTAGGATTCAATTATTATTATCATCATTAATCTCAGCAAGTATGCCCACTTCCCAAAGGAGAAATAGAAACTTCTAGAAGCTGAAGGGTATTATAACTGTTGTTTAATGGCAAGTAGGTAAATAAGTCCTGAATCCAGTTATTTGCTTCTGTGTAGGATGAAAAGCAGCGAATTGAGGCCCTTGGTGGCTGTGTAGTCTGGTTTGGTGCCTGGAGGGTGAATGGAAGTCTGTCAGTCTCCAGAGCTATAGGTAGGAAGACATTAATTTTGTTTCTTCAAACTGTCTTCTATTTAGTTCACTGTCTTGTATTAACATTGTTCTGGTAATTTATATGGCCAAAATGCTTTTACTGTTGTTTAAAATAACAATGGATGCCTCTTTTTAATTATTTGATTTAATTACACCTACTTTCATACTTAAATTCCACTAAAAAAGGGGGACCACATCAAGAAATGCAGAATTCACTGATTTCTATCCCTTGGTTTAATGAAAGCCTTTAATCGTTTAATGTACAAATCTGCTTAAAAACAGTGATCCTCATTTCATTCTACTTTTGGTCATATTCAGCTTAAGTAAGTATTTTTTTTGGAAAATGGAAAGCGTTTCCCAGTTTATCCATTGCTAGGGATTGAATTTCAGGGACTCATGGTTGCAAGGCAGGTGTTCCCTACTCCTTGAGCCAACTTTCAGCCCCTTTTGCATTGGTTATTTTTCAAGTAGGTTTTTTCCAGACAAGTTTAACTTCTGCCAGGGCTGTAATCCTACTTGTGCTTTCCTCATGTTGTTGGGGATAATAGATGTTTTACCACTGTGCCCATCCAGCTTAAGCTAGTCTTACAAGCTTCTTTTTTGGCCTCAAACCCTGACCCCCCCAACCTCCATTTCTGCTTCCCAAGTGCTGGAATTACAGGATTGGGATACCACCCTTGCCCATTTTCCCCTTTTCATTTTTTGGCAGAACTGGGACTAGCCTGGTGCTTGAATTCTGGACCTGGATGTTGTTCCTGAGCTTTTTTCCTCAAGGCTAGCTCTCTGCCACTTGATCTGCATCTTTACTTCCAGCTTTTTGGTGGTTAATTTGATAAGAGTCTCAGACTTTCCTGCCTGGCTGGCTTTGAACCACAGTTCTCAATTCTCAGCTTTCTAAGTAGTTGGGATTACAGGTGTGAGCTATCAGCACCCAGCTAAAAGGGGATTTTCACTGTATAATTTCCAAACTGCATCTCAGTATCTCAAGTTATTTATCACTTTTACTTCCCCTTCCTCTACTCATTTATTTTATTTTTATTTTTTGTCGGTTGTGGGGCTTGAATTCTGGGGCTGGGAGCTGTCCCTGAGCTCTTCAGCTCAAGGTGAGTGCTCTACCACTTGAGCCACAGAACCACTTCTGGTTTTCTGGTGGTTTACTGGAGATAAGGGTCTCACAAGCTTTCCTGCCCAGACTGGCTTTGAACCAAATTCCACAGATCTCAGCTTCCTGAGTAGCTAGGATTACAGGCATGAGCCACTGGTGCCTGACAATTTTTTTTTTTTTTTTTGCTAGTCCTGGGGCTTGAACTCAGAGCCTGGGGTCTGTCCCTGAGCTTCTCTATGCTCAAGACTAGCACTCAGGGGCTGGGAAGGTGGCTTAGTGGTAGAGTGCTTGCCTTGTGTGCATGAGGCCCTGGGTTCGATTCCTCAGAACCACATAAGCAAAAAAAGCCAGAAGTGGTGCTGTGGCTCAAGCAGTAGAGCATTTGCCTTGAGCTGAAGAGCTTGAGGGACAGCGCCCAGGCCCAGAGTTCAGGCCCCACGACTGACAAAAAAAAAAAAAGACTAGCACTCTACCTCTTGAGCCGTAGTACCACTCTGGCCTTTTCTGTTTATGTGGTACTGAAGAATGGAACCCAGGGCTTCATGCATACTAGGCAAGCACTCTACCACTAAGCCACATTCCCAGCCTATTTTTTAATTTTTTGTTACCAGTCCTGGAGCTAGAACTCAGATCATGATCACTGTCCCTGAGCTTCTTTTGCTCAAGGCTAGCACTCTACCACTTGAGCCATGGCACCACTTCCGGCTTTTTCTGTTTATGTGGGACTGAGGAATCAAACCTGAGGGCTTCATGCACTCTACAATTAAGCCACATTCCCATCCACATCTACTCATTCTTAAAACAATTTCAGCAGGTTTCACTGAAAAGTAAAAAATTGAAGAAAAAAACAAAAACAAAAAGCCAGATAGGGCTGGGAACTATAGCTCATGTGTTTGGGTGCTTTCCTAGGATGGGTAAGGCCCTGAAGGTGAAAGTCAGAAAACCTGTCTATTTTTTTTTGTCGGTCGTGGGGCTTGAACTCTGGGCCGGGGCGCTGTCCCTCAGCTCTTCAGCTCAAGGCAAGCGCTCTACCACTTGAGCTACAGCGCCACTTCCAGTTTTCTGGTGGTTTATTGGAGATAGGAGTCTCACAGTCTTTCCTGCCCAGACTGGCTTTGAACTCCGATCCTCAGATCTCAGTCTGCTGAGTAGCTAGGATTACAGGCATGAGCCACCAGCGCCCGGCAGAAAACCTGTCTAAAACAGAGAACAAACAGGTGATTTGACTAAATGAAAGGGTGTAAGTTCAAAGAATTGAGCTGTTTCTGTCTTACTTTAGACCCTGGATTTGTTATTTTAAGTTTTCACGGTTTCCAGGTTTGTTTTTATTTTATTTATTTATTTACTTGTCGGTTGTGGGGCTTTAACTCTGCATCTGGGTGCTGTCCCTCAGCTCTTCAGCTCGAGGCAAACATTCTCCCACTTGAGCCCACAGTGCCACTTCCGGTTTTCCAGTGGTTTGAGATAAGAGTCACACGAGCTTTCCTGCCCAGGCTGACTTTGAACCATGATGCTCAGATCTCAGCCTCCTGCGTAGCTAGGACTACAAGCGTGAGCCACCAGCATCCACGCTCCTTTTTTTTTTTTTTTTTTGTCAGTCATGGGTTTTGAACTCTGGGCCTGGGTGCTGTCCCTGAGCTCTTTAGCTCAAGGCTAACACTCTACCACTTG